GAGAGAAAGATCTTCAGCAGCTGAGAGAGGCTGTGGAGTCTCATAAGGTGAGTCTGGAGAAGAAGAGAAGCTTGTCTCAGTTCAGACTCACCTCTTTCAGTTCCACTGAAGGAACAGAGCTAGGATCAGAGAGCTGGGTTAGTTTGGTCTGGAGGAGTGTTGGGATGATGTTATTGAAGGCCAAACTGAAGTCCACAAACAGGATCCTTGCATAAGTCCCTGGTTTGTCCAGATGTTGGAGAATGTAGTGCAGTCCCATGTTGACTGCATCAGCCACAGACCTGTTTGCTCAGTAAGCAATCTGCAGGGGGTCCAGTGATGTCCTTCAGATAAGCCAACACCAGTCTCTCAACAGGGAGAGTCCAGTGATCTGTTGAGGATCTGTGAAAAGATGTGGGCCAGCTGGTCAGCACAGATTTTCAGACAGGCTGGTGAAACACCAACTGGGCCTGGTGCTTTCTTTTTCTTCTGCTTTCTGAAGACCTGATGCACATCATCTTCACTGATCCGAAGTGCAGGAGTGGGGGAGAGGGGGTTGCTGGAGGTGTTAATGGTTGTGTAGAGAGATGGTTAGAGCTGGTGTGGGGTATGAGACCGGGAGTTTTGAATCGACAATCAAGTCAAGTCAAGTCACCTTTATTTATATAGCGCTTTTAACAATACAGATTGTGTCAAAGCAACGGAACAGCATTAATTAGGAAAATAGTGTGTCAATAATGCAAAATAGTAAACACTAATTTTTCAGTTAAAGACAGTTCATCATTGAATTCAGTGATGTCATCATCCAGCTCAGTTCAGTTTAAATAGTATCTTTGCAATCATTTGCAATCAAGTCAACGGAATACGTACTGGATCCGGGTGACTGCAGTGACCATCTGATCTGGTGGCTACAGTGACCTCGGAGTAAGAGAGAAACAGACTAATATTAGGATAGATGCCATTCTTCTAGTGATGTAGCAAGTACATCGGGTGTTATGAGAAGTGTTCCCGGTTCCGGTTGACCTAATTAATGCAGCCTAAAATGTGAGCTCATCCAGATCATTGGCAGCAGCTTAAAAAACACTCCAATCAGTGCAGTCAAAATATGCGAAACATGCCCACTCTGTTTAGTTGGTCCATCTTTTTACAGTCCTTACTACAGACTTAGCAGATAGGCAACAGCTAGAGAGACTGGGGAAATTCATGTCAAACAGCTGCACTATTCAATTCAATTCAGTTCAAGTTTATTTGTATAGCACTTTTCACGACACAAATTTGACAGCAAATTAAGTTTCTACAATATAACAATACAATGCACTACCAGCACTGGTGCCCCTCAGGGTTGCATCCTCTCCCCACTGCTCTTCTCCCTGTACACCAGTGACTGTACCTCTACTTGACCCATCTGTCAAGCTCCTAAAGTTTGCAGATGACACCACACTTATCAGCCTCATCCAGGACAGTGACGATTCTGTTTACAGACAGGAAGTTAAAGAGCTGGCTGTCTGGTGCAGTTATAACAACCTGCTCCATTGAGAGAAGCCGCTCTGAGCTGATACGGCTGATCAGAGATCAGGAAAAGACTGCAGTGAGTCGAGCTGAAGGACGACTGGAGCGACTGGAGAAGGAGATCAATGATCTGAGGAGGAGAGACGCTGAACTGGAGCAGCTTTCACACACACAGGATAATATCCAGTTCCTGCAGGTAACAGAAATCTAGAAGAACAGGATCATAGTGGACTTGAGCAGATCCTGCTGTGACAGAGAAACATTTCATGAGTGTTTTATTATATAATCATCAGTCCGACTCTCATCTGACTATCTTCTTTTGAAAGAGATGCTGCTTACAAATGGCTTTCAGCTCTGGAAATCTCTTCGAAACCATTTCTTTGAGTTATTTTTTCTAGAAGATATATTTAGCTGTCAAAAACCACTTGCGCCACCAACAGTTTAAAACTTCACACCTAATTTTTTTAATTAAATAAAAAGACTCTGTCTTAAGGGTCCTTGTGAAGTTTCAGTGTCTAACCGCTCTAAAGTTATAAATAATGGTCAATCTAATCGTAGCCTTTTAGCTGCTTTTCCTGAGAAAATCTACTCAACCCTACAATGAGACTCCATTGATGTGCTTGAACTGTTAGATTGACATTTATGTTCTTAGCAGATGTTTATTCATCCAAACTATTCCTAGAAAGCTCACATAGAGTATAAGTGGCAAATACTAGAATCTGTAGCTCTAATGTGATTTAATGAATATGAGAAGAATGAAGCTGATGCTGCGAAAGTGCTGGATTGAGGTGAGTTACTAAAGATCAGTCAAGTCAACAAGAACAACAAATCTGATGTTCCTGCAGGTTATTGGGTGAAGTGTGGAGCTGATGAGTTTTGACTTCTGTTTTCTGTAGAGTTTCCAGTCTCTCTCAGCACCTCCTGAATCTACAGACGTAAATGATGATCTCTTCAGTTCTCTCTTCTCTTCTGATGCTCTGAGAGAATCTGTCCATCAGCTGAGAGACAAACTGGAGGATTTCTGCAAAGAGGAGCTCAAGAAGATCTCAGACAGAGGTAAAGTCCTGGAGATTCATCTGCTCTCAGAAACCAGTCCATCATCATCTCATATCATGGAGAACATCATATTAGAAATGCCTTAGGAATGGATGCAGGATCATGAGAATCACACTGTTCATGTCTGTTGATTTCCACAGTCACATTCACCAACATCAGATGCAGATTAAGAAACTTTGGGCCTTTGGGCTATAGCAAACCCAAGGGCCCTCTTCCTAGTAGCCTATCTTGGTGCCACAATGTTTTCTGCCAGAGGAATATTTAGTTTTTTTATATTTAGTTAATTTTAAAAATATAAATATTATATCTATATAATATATTTAGATTATATAAATATAAATATTTAGATTATATCTAAATATTCCAGGCTAAAACATGTTATAACCATAACCTCAGTCCTTTCATAACCTTTCACCTCAGTCATGTTATTGAAGGTAGAAGAGAGTTCACTCCACCCACCGACAATTCCTGTCAGACCTGAGACTCGAACCCACAGCCTTCAGGTTACAAGTCCAAGTCTTTAACCATTAGGCCATGAGGCCCTAATAATTTGCTGTGGTTAGGGCAATTGGAATAAACAAATTATTTATAAATAAATAAAGGCTATATTGCAGGCTCTTAATTATTGAATTAAAAATGATTAGAACTGTTAAAATCTCCTTTGTAGTTGCACTAATGGAATGCTACTGTAATTCAGGAATTATATTAACTGTAGTATTAGGAAGATCATGAATCAGGCAAAAACCATATTCCTTATTACCATGGTTTTATTGCTTCTTTCACAAAATCAAAAAGAAAAGGCTCCAGTTACTAACGTAACCTTGGTTCCCTGAGATAAGGGAACAAGCATTGCGTCAGCTTATTGACGCTATGGGGAAACTCCTGTTTACTCTGATACTGAAGCCTGATTTGTTAACATTTGTGTAGCTGCACAAACCAGTGGCACTCAAACCCACAAGAACGGGTGGAGCCAACTACTATATAAGTCGGCCCAAGCACCATCTCATCAGAATCATTCGACTGAAGCGACAGTCAACGATTCGCATGCAGCTTATAGCACGTCACGCAATGCTCGTTCCCTTATCTCAGGGAACTGAGGTTATGTTAGTAACCAGAGCGTTCCCTATCGAATAGGAACTCCCGTTAAGTCAGCTTATTGATGCTGTCCAGCAGCGCCGTGCTATGAGAAGAAGCAGAACTTAGCCTGCTCCACAAGCCCAACTCAGGAGCACTTGCCAGAGGGCTCTGTAAGCCTGAGCTATAGAAAAGACCCAAGTCAATAATCTGAGGTCTAGTTAAGAAAGCCGTTCCACTCAGCGTGGAAAGTGGTAGATTTATGCAGAAAGGATCCGCGCCTGCATAGCGGGGACATCTAAATTGTAAAATCTAATGAAGGTAGATGGCGATGACCATCCGGCGGCCAAACAAATCTCCCCGATAGAAATCCCATTCTACCACGCCCAGGAGGAGGCCATTTCTCTGGTGGAATGGGCCCTCACAGCTATAGGGCATTACAAGCCAACTGCGGCATAAGCCAGGGCTATAGCATCTATTATCCAGTCTTTGCTTTGTGACTGGCAGCCCCTTAAAGAGGTCTCCAAAGCACAAAAAGAGCTTCTCTGATTGTTTGAACAACCCAGAGCGCTCAATGTACACTCCGATTGTCCGAACAGGCCACAGCAAGTTGGGACCCTGCTCACCGTCCGCTGTAGGGAGAGCTAACAGGGAAATAACCTGGGCTCTGAATGGAGTTGAGAGCACCTTAGGTACGTAACCACATTGCGGTTGCAGAACGACTTTACAGTCGTTAGGCCCCAACAGGATGTGCTGACAGCACTTACAAGTCACCTACTCATTTGACCAATGCCAAGGCCAAGAGCAGAGCAGTTATGATTGACATGGGCCGCAAGCCAGACGGTTGAAGTGGCTCAAAAGGATGACTATAGACAAGTCCCATGTCGGCACAGTTCTAGGGCAAGGTGGGTTCAGTCTCTGAGCTTCCCTTAGAAACTTAATGACCAGGTTGTTTCTGCTGAAGAGCGGCCAGCCACGAGAGAATGATTCGACGTGATGGCTGACACATAAACCTTGAGTGTGGAAGTGGTACGGCCCTTGTCGAACAACTCCCATCGAGGGATCAAACATGGCCAAAAAGGGATGCCAAATCTTGCCCTTTGCTTGCGAGAGAATGTCACTCCTCAATGGTATTGGCCATGGGGCTGCAGACAGCAGCTAAATAAGCTCTGTGAGCCAAGTTTGGTTCTCCTCCACTAGGAGAAGTGAGCATTTTGATCATTTTGACCTGCCTGATAACGTGAGGAAGCAGGGTGGTTGGAGGGAAGGCATACAAATGGGTGTTGGGCCAGCACAAGGAGCCGTACGTCAGGTTGCCCGCATACAGAGCGCGAACCGGAGGCGTCCGTTGTGGCTAACTTCCTTCTGGACGTCACTCCCAACTGCACACCTGATAAAAACAGGTGAAGAGTTGTCCAGGGGGCCACAGTTCTGACACAGCGATGAGTTACCATGATATAACACCAAGCAACCAGCATCGGACAGAACACGAGTTTTGAGCCAATATTGGAGGGGCCGCATGTGTAGCAGGCCCAGGAGAATCAATAAGGAGGCGGCCACTATTAGGCCAAGCAACCTCTAAAACACCCTGAGGGGGACACGTAGTCCCCAACTTGAATGATGCCGCAATTCGCTGAATGTTCAGGGAGCATTCCGGCGTAATTCGGGCTTGCATTTGAACTGAGTCTATAACTGTTCCCAGAAAGCACACTCGCTGTCTGGGAGTCAGAAAACTCTTGGCTGAGTTGATTCTCAGCCCAAAATGCTCCAGATGGTTGAGCAAAAATGACATGTGAGCGATAGGTTCTCGTTCTGATTTGGCTAGCATCAGCCGGTAATTAAAGATGCGGATTCCCATCTGGCTTAGAGGGGAAAGAGCTGCGTTCTTGCACTTCATAAAAGTGCAATCTCAAAATGGTCTGTGATGGGAGTCCAACATCATCTCATATCATGGAGAACATCATATTAGAAATGTCTTGGGAATGGATGCAGGATCATGAGAATCACACTGTTCATGTCTGTTGATTTCCACAGTCACATTCACCAACATTGTTCCCGGGACCATGAACAACTTCCTACAATGTAAGTCAGTAAGAAAACAAGTAGAAAAACTCACTGAGTGTGTTCATGTTCTTCCTGTAGAAGGTGAAAGAAAGTTTTATAATTGATGATGTAAATGATGATTTGCACAGATATCTGGTCATCTGTACTGAGACACTGATGATACACTGAACATGAAGAGTTACATGAAAAGATCAAACAGATTCATAATTCCTGATTCTGATGTGTTTTATCTCCATCAGATTCCCATCAGCTCACTTTGGATCTCAACACAGTGAATAAAAGCCTCCTTCTGTCTGAGAGCAACAGAGTTATTACTTACACTGGCACAGATCAGTCGTATCCTGATCATCCAGACAGATTTGATGTGTATCGTCAGGTGTTGTGTAGAGAGAGTGTGTGTGGACGCTGCTACTGGGAGGTGCAGTGGAGTGGAAATATTGGTGTGTTTATATCAGTGTCATATAAGAGCATCAGCAGGAAGGGAGGTGATGAGTGTTTGTTTGGACGTAATGATCAGTCCTGGAGTTTCTTCTGCACTCCCTCTAGATATTCATTCATACACAATAACATAGAGACTCGTCTCCCTGTGAAGCACATCAGCAGTAGAATAGGAGTGTTTGTGGATCACAGTGCAGGAACTCTGTCCTTCTACAGCGTCTCTGACACAATGAGCCTCATCTACACATTTCAGACCACATTCACTCAGCCGCTCTATCCTGGGTTTAATATTCATAAAGGATCATCAGTGAAACTGTGTTGATGAGTCAGAATAGACTGCAGAGAGATTTTACCCATAATGCTTTGAGCTGCATGATGAATCAGTAACAGTGAGATGTTACAGAGTCTCTTCTTTTCTCTTCATGATATTAATACTGCAGCTGAAATTCTTTCAGTGAAATAACATGTCAGAATAAATGTGTGTAATAATTCCTCATATAGACCGTATAGCAGCTCACTTCCTGTGAAAACACACACTTAGAGCAGCTTCTCTGAATGTATATAACCGTAATATTGTTTTATCTAATGATTGCATGGTTTTAAGGGATATTTGTCTTGTCATGCGTAAGAGATCAGAGAATGTCTCCATTTCCAGGTTTTTTAACATCCCAGGATGTTGTGAAGCAGTAATTTTACATAGTTTTCAGTTATGATAACATTTGTTGATGAAGTCTGTGCATCAAAACATACACAAGTAAGATTATTCAGGTTCTTTTTATCATAATTTTTCTCCTGCTTTCTGCTCTTCTCTGATTTCCTCTGTTATCCTCTCAGGCTGATTGAAGACTTTGAGTTACTGCAGGTTTTGGGTTTTAGATAAAATTAATGTCTACTGACAGGATCTGGTATTCCTGTCAAGGAGATTTGATCTTATGCTTTTGGAGCAGTCATTAGGATGTTGGCACAATCTAACAGTGATATATTTTCAACATTTACAGGGGACAGTGTGTGATTTTATTGCTGTCTGAATCCAGCTGTTTCTTGTCTTTTGTTCTATTTATGGTTGTTATTCCAACAGGCTGTATCGCATTTATATCTGTATATTTCTAAATAAATAAAAAAACGAAGAAAAAAAAGAGTTTTGAATCTTTTGAAATAGGCTATTATTGTATAGCAGATACAATAACATGTTAAAATATGTGTTATATACATTTATACAACAGTTCTTTCTGGTCCTCAAAACTGATTGGCTGATAAGAGTGTGATATTAGACTGATAACAGAACTCCAACAACCGTTTCACAGTTTGTATCACTCCGTTTGCGGTATTTCTCACATTCTAACGAATGGCACGGCAGGTCACCCAAATCCACTATAATTTTATAAATAATACTGTTTTGTGTCATGGAATGTAGTTTTAGGAATTTTTTAGGCAAAAATATAGTTGTTTAGTCTATAAATATGCGGTTTATTATTAGAGATAACGTCTATTTGAAAATTTACTTCAATGTTTTTGGGGATGTGAGCTCCAGTGCATCAGCGGCCGTTCAGTACTCATGGACACGCCGAGAGCAGCCTTACCTCAGCCAGATCTTCTGGGATTTGCCACTGGCTCTGATGTCTCTATAGTGGTTAAACATGAGATATAATTCGTTTTGGGTAAATCTCGTGGGCAGTCTTTGGTCTCGTTAATCTATATTTACATTTAGTGATTTAGCAGATGCCTTTATCCAAAGCGACTTACTAATGAGGACAATAGAAGCAATCAAAATCAACAAAAGAGCAATGATATGCAAGTGCTATAACAAGTCTCAGTTAGCTTAACGCAGTACACGTAGCAAGTGTTTTTTAAATTATATAATAAAAAGAAAACCGATAGAATAGACAAAGAATAGAGCAAGCTAGTGTTAGAGGCCTTTTTTTGATTTTGTTAATTGTATAATAAATAAAAAGAAATAGATAGAATACAAAAAGAATAGAGAAGCTAGTGCTATTTTTTTTTTTTAAAAGAAAACAAGCAGTTAGTAAATGAATAGAGTGCAAGTCTAAAAGGGGCAAGGTTTTATTTTTTATCTATTATTTGTTCCAAAGCAAATAGTTTAGCCTCAGGGCAAAATCTCATTACATTATTTTTTTTTAATGTAACTTCAATGCTGTATATCAGAACACTGTCTTTGTACTTTTGACTGAATTGCCTAGTAATTTTCATAATGGCTGTTGTTGATGTTTATTAAATGTTATTATTCAATAAATAATATTTTATATAAATAACAGTAGTATTTAACAATAGTATAGTATTGGGAAACTGTGTGAGTGTGTGTTCGTGATTGTGATTGGTTTCATTATTCCGCCATTAGATGGCGACAGACTATTTTACGAGTCAGCAGTAAAGACTTTTTATATTGAAAGCGACTGAAACAGGAAGTTATTTGTACTTTCAACAACAGCTTGTAAGACGCGGGCAACAAATGCACTGAGCTGCGCTGTCATCGGAAATCACCCTCAACAGATGAAAGGATAGTACGACAACTATATCGCTTTCCTCAGCGGACATTCAAAAATGTTTTATTGTGGATATGATTTAGCAGATGCCTTTATCCAAAGCGACTTACAAATGAGGACAATGGAAGCAATCAACAAAAGAGCAATGATATGCAAGTGCTATA